GTACATTTCAGCTAGTTTTGATTGGCTCTTAATGCTTTTCTGAGTTTCAGTGGTAAATATGCCTATAGTAATTGTTATACACAGGATCATAACTTGAAAACAATCATGACAGCAGAAGATACTGCAAGGTCATTGTCAAAGTATAACAGAAGTTTTATGGAGAATAGAACTTGTATATAGAACTTTTAACAGCTTTGGAATAGGTCCTGGATAAGGCAAACCTTATGTGGTAGTCTTTTTTCCAAGGCCTGCCGTATGGCTGTTCCAGATGTCTGGCTGTCTCGGAATTAGATGGTGGCACAGAGGAAGCAGGGCTCGCATGACTTCTCCCGCCCTTTAGAAAGCTCAACTCATCAAGTTCTAGTTCGTGCTCTTCTCCCAGTGACATGAAATATGTGTACTTTTTTTTTTGGATAAGTAAATAGCTCTATCGATCACATAAACTAATAACCCCAAATCTTTCCAGAAGATGACTTTCCATTGCATTTTAAAACTTTACAAACCATAAAAGACCATCTAAATGAACAATAGAATTGTTGTTGTTGTTGATCATTGTCGTTAGACAAGTTTCTGGTTGAATGAGGACTGTCTCTTTGTTCTAAGAGACCCAGGCCTTGGACTTTTATGACCCATGGGGCTCTACCTCATGGGCAGGACATGTATCTCTGAATTGTATTTCTGAATTGCTCAGGGGAAAAGGCAAGGGTAGAAAAAATGGCCCTCTTGAAGCTCTCTTTCTTATACTGTTTACTTAGCTCATTCCTTTTCTGAAAATTTGTGGGTAGCAATTACCTAACATCCTGTTGTCTAGACTAACGTGGGAGCCTTTTAACTTGTGTCCTCATCTATAGTTTTTCTCTACTTTGTTTTCCTAAATCCTGTTTTCAGTTTAACCTAACTAAAACTAAAGTTTCCATCATGTTACGTCATTCTTTATAATCTCCAGTGGCCTCCTTTTTACCAACTCATTTCTTTGAGAGCAGTTCTAAAACTAGATATATTTGAATGACAGTAGCACCTGAATTTGTGTTGGGTGTTATCATGGCTTTAGAAGGAAGATTTTTTTGCCTGGCAGTGGGGATAAGTGTTCTTTCATTTCTCATTGTGATTAATTATATTGTTTCTGTGTATTTCTTTTTTTTTCTTTAGTTGGCATCTTGATCTTGAATGTTTCTTAATAAAAGCCATGAAATAATTTTATGGTTATGAATTTCTCTGTCTCCTTAAATTGACCCGTAGGGTATGTTTCATTTTGTTCATATGTGTACTTGTGTAAATTAGTTTATATGGTTAAATAATTTATATTTAGAATCATGGCTTTGTTTTCTTCTTTTTCTTCTTTTTTTTTTTTTTTTTTTGAGACAGTCTCGCTCTGTCACCCAGGCTGGAGTGCAGTGGCGCAGTCTTGGCTCACTGCAACCTACGCCTCCCAGGTTCAAGTGATTCTCCCGGCTTAGCCTGTGGAGTACCTGGGATTACGGGCGCCCACCACCATGCACGGCTAATTTTTATATTTTTAGTAGACAGAGTTTCACCACGTTGGCCAGGCTGGTCTGGAACTCCTGACCTCAGGTGATCTGCCTGCCTCAGCCTCCCAAAGTGCTGGGATTACAGATGTGAGCCACCGCGCCAAGCCTGTACTTTTTATATTTAAGTTATGTATAGTTTTATGATACTTAGTTTGAAGAGAAGCATCGTTGCTGGGATTACAAGCCTGAGCCACTGCGCCTGGCCTCACCTGTTGGTTCTTTGTGTCTTGTACAGCAGTTTTACAAAGTACAGCCTTTTACATATATTTTTTCATGTAAATGTGTTTTAAACAAACTGGATATCCAGTGGATGAGGATGCTGTTTTAGGTTTTGCCTGTCTTGTACTCATGCAGCTATCTTGTTCACCTGTGTGCAGGACTACAGTGTGCTGAGTAGAAAGAGTGACTGGCAGGTAGGAGACTTGGCTTTGCCACCTCTTTTAGCAAGTTCCTTCACTTCTTTGAGCCTCAATTTCCTGAAGGGATGAAACTCACTCCCTGTGTAGGAACCATGGTCTGTTTGTTTGTTGCCAATAAATGAGATGATAGGATGAACCCATTCCTGTTTTTGCAGTTTCATCAGGGTCAGAAACCATTTCTGCTGTTTTTCCTTAATGGAATCATACAATTTAGGGATGAGATTTGCAAAATCTAGAAAACATAACAGCCATATATTCAAATTAATATCTGAAAATGAGCAGAAAATGACTAAGAGTTTCAGATGCTTTGTTTTCTGGTTTTGCTTTTGTTTTACCTTCCCTTTTGTGTCCAGTGCTTAGTGATACCGATATTGATTGCACCTTATATACTAGAAGCCCTCTATAAATTGTATTTGCTGAGTAGTAAAAGATCGAGGTAGTATCTTTTTTTCTGTCTTTGGCAATTAATTGTTCTCAGCTGGAAGGCACAGTTATCTTATCCCTACAACTGAGGCCACTGGAATCACTCTGAAAATTTATCTAAACCTTTGTATCATTGTTTGTGAACAAAAATCTTAATGCTGTGGCATATTTTTGAGTTATGGGATTTAAAATGCTGTTTTATAAATTATTATAAAGCTGAATTGCAAGAATACTGGAAATGCGAAAAAAAACCTTGAATGTACTTCCATGGTTGATATTCAGCCATGAAAAAAGCCATCATAGAATATTAATACAAAAATTGTGCTTCCTTTGACCTGTAGGCACTTGCAAATATGTGATCCCATTGTGATTCAGTTTTCTAAGAAAAATGACTCCCTCTCCCCACCGTACAATCCCTCCCCCTAGAAAGCTCACCTAAATTTCTTTCTTTTTTCTTTTTTTTTTTTCTTTCTTTGAGTCAGGGTTTTGCTCGCTCACCCGGGCTGGAATGTAGTGGCGCTGTCTTGACTCACTGCAGCCTCCACCTCCCAGGCTCAAATGATCCTCCCGCCTCAGCCCCAAGTAGCTGGGAATATAGGCGTGCGCCACCATATCCGGCTAATTTTTGTATTTTTTGTAGAGATGGGGTTTTGCCATGTTGCCCAGGCTGGTCTCAAGCTCCTGGGCTCAAGTGTTCCTCCCACCTTGGGCTTCCAAAGTTCTGGGATTGCAGCCATGAGCCACTGCTCCCAGCCAATTTATTATTCTTAAGCTTCTAAATTGGCGTGTAGTGGCCAAGATGCATAAAATGAACCCCAAATTCTAAGCTAAAAACTTGTTTGACAATTATAGGTTAGTTGTTCATAGGGAATTGTGAAGTAGATCTGGTTCACGTAGGATTCCCGAGGATAAAGTAGCGTGCAGACAAGCAAAGAAAAGCAGGAGGATAAATTATTTATCTGAAATGACGTATAGTCACATCTATAATTAAGCCCAATCAAATAGAGTTTGAAAAGTTAAAAAAAAAAAAACTCTGAGAAACAAGTGATAAAAAATGACCTTGGTACCCTTGAGGTGGAGCAGGATTGTGTAGCTAAATGTTTTTCTCTCTTGGGGCCCTGTGGGGAGTCACCACCAAGCCCACCAATATTTTATTTTTGAAAAGACGTAGCTTCTTGCAGACATCACGCTGGCTTCAGCTTGTTTCTATATAGGCTTTAGAAATAGTGCTGTCCAACACAATAGAGCACCCCAAATGTGGCTGGTTCAAATTGAGATTGCTGAAAGAATAAAATATATACCAGATTACAGAGCTTAGTATGAAAAAAAGCAAAGTACTTTATTTTTAAAAAGTTTTAAATATTGATTACATGTTGAAATAATATTGTGAATATATTTTGTTAAATGAATATATTATTAAAGTGAATTTTACCTGTTTCTTTATACTTTTTTATTGTTTATCTTATTTTTTATGAGCTTCTTGTTGTATCTTTTTACTTTTTTACTGTGTCTTCTAGAAAACTTAAAACTTACATATGTGGCTCTCATATTCATATTAGATAGCACTGGTCTATGGCTAGGCTTTCCTAATTCCGAAGCACAGAATTAAGAACATAGACACTAGAAATCTTCCAAAGAAGGCGATTGGCCACAGAGGCTGAGCCTAGTGTGATATCCAAGACTAGTTTATGGGATTCTTCCTATGTTAGTTGAGGTTTTGTTACGAGACAGAAAGCACAATGTAATTGAACAGGGAGAGTTAAATATAAAGAATTATTAATGTACAACATGGGATTAAGTACTAAGGAGTAAAGAGACACTAAAGAATATAAAAAGAGCAGATATTGGGAGCAGCCCTTCCCGCTAGGGCTGAGGCAGAGCACCTTAGGACAGAATAAATTTGGAAGAAGTTTCCTTCTTTACCTTAGAATTGAGATCCAGGCCTTGGAGAAGGCACAACCTTGGCCCACTTGATGGTGAAGAAGGTTGAGCAGATACCACAGGCGAGGGGGAGCCACCCATAGGATGCCAGCAGAATTCTCTCGGAAACTGCCCTGTGGATGGCACTGGAACTCGCTATGGGGGTAAACACCCTTGGGTGCCATGCCTGCTGCTAAATGTGGCAGGAACAGAGAAGAATACACAGGAACTGGGGAGAGCAGCCCCTTCCTCCTCCAGTTGCCCTCCAGCGTGTGCTACTGATAGACTTAACGTTATGCCAGTGGTCAAAGAAACTGACGGTGTTTGCAGGGCCCAGCTCCAGTATCATAGAGCGGGACAAAAAGGCTGAATTTGGAGCGGAGAGGCAATAGATTGATAATGGGTGCACTTCATAAGTGTATTGCTCTGATTTTTAAATAAATTTAGGTAGTTTGGCACCAAGATAGAATATTTTAAAATAGGGCTCTGTAGGAAAATTTAGGACGTCGTCACCATACCTAAACATTCTAGTTGGATGAGAATCTTTCGTTTTAAAAGACTTAGGAATTCTCATGAGTTCTGTTTTCTCCTCTCTTTAATTTTAAACAGTGAATATTAAATAGTTAGGGGGCCAGTTTCCAGTATAAATGCGGTCTTGGTGTTTGCTTCTTTCATTTGTTTTACTCATTGCTTTGTTTATTCCTGGTAGTGTTCGACTACAGTTATAGAGATTACATTCTGTCCTGGTATGGAAACCTCAGCAGAGATGAGGGACAACTTTACCATCTGCTCTTGGAAGACTTTTGGGAAATTGCCAGACAGCTGCACCACAGACTGAGTCACGTGGATGTGGTTAAAGTTGTCTGCAATGATGTTGTGAGGACTTTACTCACTCATTTCTGTGACCTGAAAGCTGCTAATGCCAGGTAACTGTTATAAGCAACTTACCCCCTTTTTTTGCATTACATTTTTTTTTTTAATTGAGTAAGGGGTCAAAGTCAAGATAAAACTCTAGAATAGTCTGCCTATTGCTGGCACTTGCTTGAAAATGTAGATTTATTAAGGGGGAATAATTATTGTGTTCTGATAGAGTAGTTTTGTTTTTCACTTTCTGCTGGAAAACCACTTATAAATACAATTAATTCTATAAATAAACAGTAAAATGAATTTTACTGAGCCAGCACTGTGATGATCTTATAGTATTATGAGTACCTAGATGTAAAAAATTTAAATATAGTGTTTTCTAGCATGAGCAGAGTGAATGAGTTTACAGTATTTAGACAAATTTAAATATGGTTCATGTTTCTTTTTGTGAGTCCTGTGTTGAACTCTGTTGCATCACGATATCCTGAAAACTGATTTTCAAAGGTACTTAATATTGGAGCTTCTGGGCTTTAACTAGAGAAATTTCATTATGAAAGTAGCTAATATTTAGGCTTATTAGCCCTTTGTATTGTTACATAACAGTTGTACATATTGGAGCTTGTAGGCTTTAATTAGAGTAATTTCATTATGAAAGTAGCTAATATTTAGGCTTGTTAGCCCTTTGTATTGTTATGTACCTAACAATTGTACATAAAAAGCTGTCCAACTGAAATGAGTAGCCTTCTGCCTGTGTGGATATGGACACGGTTGGAACAGGAATGGGAATAGTTAATGTGGCCTATTCTCGCCTTCAGGGAAGAGGTAAAGTATTTAGATGACGTCACCCTTCCGCCCTGTGATGCTGTTCTTGTAGGCGACCTTGCTGCTGAATGCGGCTGTGCAGCAGGTCTCCATTCCCAGCTGTCTTGCCCCTTCCTGTGACTCTTCTTCCTTCCCTCAGATTTATGAGGCCAAAATCCACAAAGCCGTGACATGCCCACTGTTTTCCAGCCTGCCACCCCTGTGTTTTGCGAACTTTTTTTAAAACTATGACCCACTGTGAGAAATTCACTTGATATGATGACCCAGTTTCATAAAACAGTACTTTATTACCTCTAATAACTTTGACACTTTTTTTTAACATTTTAAAAAATTAATGTTTAAGACCAACTCAATTTTATTTTCTTAAAAGTCACAGACTATGGTTTGAAAAACATTACTGTAAAGCAGTGATTCTCAGACTTTTTGTTCCTGGGATTTCTCTACATTTTTAAAAGTTTCTGAGAACCTCAAAGAGCTCATTTCTGTGGGTTCTGTCTAGTGGCGTGCTGGAACTGGCGTGTACTGGCATGCAGGAGTGAACTGTGCACAGGTCTTCCCAACTTTTGGTTCAGTTATGCCAGATTGGTAGCTTGAAATGGGCCATGGTGAGAGTATTTACACCATGGAATGGGCAAATGATCCAAATCAGAGCATTTTTTTTCTCAGGAGAGCCAGCATTTACCAGTTCACAAGTCATCGTATCTTTTGATATTTACCATATTTGATATTTAAAAACTAGGAATTTTTAAAGTGCAAGAGTACACGGTACACTTTTCCTTAGCTATAAGAATGATGATGTCATCTCACATCATGTAGCCTGTGGAAACTACTATGCTTGGAAGAATGAGAATGAAAAAGACAAATGACCTTTTTATATGACTACAGTTTTAACATCCCAGATCCCCTGCAAGGATCTTGGGGACACCCAGAAGTCTCTGGACCTCCGTTTGAAAACTGCTGCTTATAGAGAAAGTAACTTCCAGTAAGCGGGGAGGGGTGTGAATCAGTAAGGAAAGTGAGAGAAATAGGGCTCTTGGGTTACCTCCTAGAGTCTCAAAAGCTTCAGCCTCTGCTTTCGAAGTGTTCACCAACCTCTGCAAGCACCTGCTAATTTGCTGTGGTATCCATTATTTCAAGTGTTCCACAGTCCCTCTTGACAAATACTGTGAAAGACTTGTTTGAATTCAGTGAAAGCTCATTTGAAAGTATGTAAATGATGGTCCAATAGAGGACAGTATTCTATCTCTCTCTCTCTATATATATATATATATTATTTTTTATTTTATTTTTTTCTTTCAGACAGTCTCACTCTTTGCCCAGGCTAAAGTGCAGTGGTGTGATCTCGGCTCACTGCAACGTCCACCTCTCAGGTTCAAGAATTCTTGTGCCTTAGCCCCCCGAGTAGCTGGGATTATAGGCATGTGCCACCACACCCAGCTACATTTTGTATTTTTAGTAGAGATAGGGTTTCACCATGTTGGCCAGTCTGGTCTTGAACTTCTGACCTCAAGTGATCCACCTGCCTCAGCCTGCCAAGGTACTGGGATTACAGTGAGCTACTGTGCTGACTTGAGGACAGTATTTTAAATCAATGTTTATTCCAGTTAGAAAACTGATGGGTTTAGATTTGGGAGAAGAGCAAGTGGTTAGAAAAATTCAGTGGTTTTATGATTATCTAATTTCAACATGAGAATATATTTTTCATCCAGACGTTTACTAGCTTTTGAGATTACTGCTTTTGTGGATAATATAAATATATGGATAAAGCATCAGAATAATAGAAACAGAAAGTGATTTAATATTAGAAGCTCCTTCTCTTTGGGCTTCTAGTTTTCTTATGCCAAGGATAGATTTATTTCACTGGCATCTGGGCTATGCCTAGAAGCTCTAGTTGATGATAAAGAATAAAGAACAAAATAAAGAAAAAAAATTCTACGACATTTCTCAATGGATTATGGATATTTGAAAAAGTACCAGTAGGTCACTGGCATTTTTCACATAGATGATTGTGTCCTGGAGAACCAATATTGTCCGTGTAGCATCTTATACAAACCATACAATGAGACCGGCAGACAGTGAGTCCAGGTTTAATGGCAAATAGCTGTATCTGCCTGCCCCAGGTCAACAGTGCTCTTGCCCTAGAAATCTCCAGTAGTGTGCAGATGTCTGTTGGCTGCAGAATGACGTTGGTAGCCTGGGTAGCACCCAATTGAATTGGCCACTATCAGACAAAGAATAATAAATTGCCTTAATAAAACAACACATCCTTTAGTTGACTGGTGGGCAATTGTTCCTGGAGGCAGCTTTCCGGTCAGCCTGTATTTATTTCTAGACCATCATTCTATTGCCGCTTTAAGCCAATCTAGATCACATTTAATTCTTGCCTCTGCTTCCTCTTCCTTTGTCCCATCTGTCTTGCTCCAGCATGTTTTGGGAAAATCTAAAAATGATTGCTTTTCTACTATTATTTCAATAGCATCTTTAATTTCGTAGTTTTCTTCTTTGCTGGTCAAGTACTGGCGTGCAGTTTGAGGGAAAAGAAGAATGCTTTTTTTGTGTGTTTTCCTTCTTTATCTCTGACATGTTATTTTTCTTTGTAATTTCTGATTGTGGTGTAATGTAAAGAGCTGGGACTTGAGATTGAAGCAGAGCAGGACTTCAGAGAGTTATTTCTACCCCTTATTACCTCTGTGACGTTGACTGTTCACATAGTCATTCAGATCTTAATTTTCTCATCTGTAGAATACAAGTGATGAGGTCTACTTTTTGGTGTAGGTAGGAGGATTAAGTCATTGTACATTTGAAACTTTTTAATAAAATATTAAAGTCCTTTTGCTTACTCAAGGAATGAGAACCCAGAGGTAAGTAGTAGGAATTACACAAACAAATGATTGATCCACACGGAACACAATAAGGATGCTGCGAAGACTGATGGCTACAACCCACCAGAAGGCTAGTAGACGTCTCCTGCCACAGAAGCAGCCTCACCCCTCGTGATGCTTTCTTGGCTTTGAAGCAATACTTGATGTCCGCTTTCTGGAGCACGTCTTAGGAATATCCTTCTTGGAGTTAGTGGAGGGATTCCAGGGAGAGATCTGCCTTTCCTTTTACTGTAGATCGAGCTGTTTTGGCGAGCCCTCTGGCCTTCGGCTCAGTCAGAAGGGTTTTCCCTAACTTAGCTGTAGGAGGGAGAGGAACTTGAGCAGTCTGAGCACCAGGCTCCTTTGTTGTCTGCCTTCCACTGATACGGAGAAGGCACTGTGTACTCTTTGAGAGGGATTTTGATATTACTTAAATAAGCTTCTCTGGTAAAAGTGGATTTTTTCTCCAACTTCCTCCAGTGCTTATTAACTAAATAGATATTTTAAAAAAGAATTACCTTTAAAAGTGCTCAACATGATAAAGGAGTAGCATCTTAACCTTACTATAATAAAATATCAACCTAGCTGGCAGCAAAGCTAGAGTTTAAAATAATTGAAGATGCCTTTTTTAAAAAGTCAGCATATCAGTATATGCAAAAGGCTTCTTCTAAAAATTTCTTTTCATGTCGTTGGCTTTACACGTTAGGATGGAATTCCTCCAGGTTGTACAAGACAGAGGAAACCTTTCTTTTCTAGCGTTATACACTCTAGAAACTAGTCTTCAGTCTCCAGTGCAAAAATAAATTTCAGTTAACACCTGAGAGGCACGAGTCATAAAGGCACTAATATATACTACTTTCATTTCCTGTGCGGTACCTGGTATGTTTCTCTCCCTCTGTTTCATGTTTTTTTCTCAGTGTTACCTACTAGTTACTGTAAGAATCTCTTATATTTTGCCTCGTTATCTAGAAGACATTAGAAAAAGCAGCATCCCAGGCTTTCCTGAATCACTATCAAGATACTTTGGGAAGGGAAGTATATAAAGTTCTGTTTTCCAGTCCTCTTCACTCAGATCCTCCAGATTAATGGTCCTGGGATGGAGTCAGTACTGACAGGGAAGTGCATAACCAAAGTTGTCAAGACTGGCTGAAAAATACTTGGGAGCCTCACAGAAGGCAATTTGCCAACAAATTAGATAACGTGGAGTTTATAGACCCTCTGGCTCACTAGAAATACCTGTAGGGTTTTTATCCTGTGATCTCCCAGTCAGAAAGCAGGCTGGCGACCTTGGTTTATGCTTTGTTAGGTGTTTTTGAAAAATGAAGCTGGAGGTCACACTTAAGAAAACATCTAGAAGACTTAAAAATTACCTAAATAAATACTCGTACCTTTTTAGATTGTTGCTATGATTTTGGAATTATCTGTGTACCCTTTGATGCTACTGAAGCTAGTCGTTATGATTTCATTTGAAATCCAGAAAGGCCATGCGTTTGCATGTATTCTAGCAAAAGTTTTCCAGGTTAGTTGATGGTTGAGGACATTTGATTGTTGAGGAGATGGCAGAGTTACTATAGCCAGTGTGTTTCCCATTTGAAATATTTTTTACCTACTAGTACATAATTGAATTGTTTCTAGAAATTTCTCTCCTCCTTTTTCACTCTCTTTGTTTAGACATGAAGAACAGCCGAGGCCTTTTATGTTGCACGCATGCTTGAGGAACTCAGATGATGAAGTAAGATTTCTACAGACGTGTTCTCGGGTTCTGGTGTTTTGTCTCCTCCCCTCAAAGGATGTACAGTCTCTCAGCTTACGTATAATGCTTGCAGAAATTCTCACAACAAAAGGTAGACTTGTACAGTTGATTTTACTAATTCAATAAGTGCGCAAACTAATGTGCTACATACTAATGTGATAATAATTTATATAACACCTATGCAGACCTTGTTTACTGTTGAACATACGGGATTTGAAGTATTTTCAAAATTTTGTTGATGTCTCTCAAAGTATTTGGCCACACAGGATAAACTTACATTTTTAATATGACATATTGCCAAATACACAGTCCATTATGTTGTATGTTTTGACACAGAAAACCAGTTCTTATGCTCTCCACAGGGAAGCATTCATTTATGATAGCTTTTGAGTTATCTAGGCCAATAATATGTACATTAATGAAAGTATGCGTGTGTGTGTGTATAATAGCTATATAATATCCATAGTGTGTATGTTTATATATTACGTGTGTGTGTATAATAGCTATATAATATCCATAGTATGTATATTTACATATTACATACGTGTGTGTATAATAGCTATATAATATCCATAGAGTGTATGTTTATATATTACATACGTGTGTGTGTGTGTGTGTGTATTCAAATTCTTTTTTTTTTTTAAATAGAGGTGGGGGTCTTACTATGTTGCCCAGGCAAGTCTTGAACTCCTGGGTTCAAGTGATCCTCCCGCTTAGGCCTCCCAAAGTGCTGAGATTACAGGTGGGAGCAACCATGCTTGACCACAGTCAAATTCTGATTAGTATATTTACTTAAAATATCTTTGCTGTATGATTTATTGGTAATGCCTATATAGTAATGCATTGGTTAACAACAGGGATATGTCTCAAGAAATGTGTCATTAGATAATGTCATTGTGCACATATCATAGAGTGTACTTACACACCTACATGGGATAGCCCACTACACACGGAGGCAATATGGTGTAGCCTGTTGCTCCTAGACTGTAAACCTGTACACCACATTACTCTGCTGAATACTGTAGGCAATTGTAATACAATGGTATTTGTGTATCTAAATATAGCAAAGGTACAATAAAAATACGGCATACAAGATAAAAAATAGTACACCTATATAGGAGACTTACCATGAATGGAGCTTGCGGGACTGGACGTTGCTCTGAGTGAGTCTGAGTGAGTGGGGAGTGACTGTGAAGGCCTAGGACATGACTGCGCACCACTGCAGACTTCATGAACACTGTACACTTAGGCTACACTAAATTTAAAATCTTATTTTCTTCAATAAATTAACATTAGCTTACTATAACTTTTTTTGCTTTATGAACTATTAATTTTTTTAACTTTTGACTCTTATAATTAGTCATTTATCATCATTATCAAGTATTATGTACTGTACATAATTGTATATGCTGTATTTTTATACTATTGACAGTGCAGTAGGTTTGTTCACACCAGCTTGACATCATTAAATGCTAGAAAATTTTCAGCTTCATTATAATCTTATGGGGGCTGCTGTCATATATTCGGTCTGTTGTTGACCAGAATGTCATTATGTGGTGCATGACTGTATATAATTTTGTGAACTTGGAATAAATAAAAAGGAACTGTGGCACAATATAATGTGATTACTTGAAAAAAGTTAACTGTATCCAAGGAAATGCTTAGTCAGGATAAGAGAAACTTTCCCTCATCTCAGTCTCAGACAAATAGCATTGCGTTTGAGATGCAGTGATTATCTCATTTACCATCTCAGGATAAGCCAGCTGTGCCCATCAGCTATTATAACCAACCACAGAGCAAAGAGGAAGTTTCAAATCTAAAGTTAAAGGATGGCTTTGTAATAGTGTCATTGACTTTTTAACTTCCTCTCTAAGGTCTGTTTTAACCACTTGGGGAGAATGTTGACTTGCATCCTTTGGCAGACTAAGTTTGCCAAAACATATTGAAACTTATAAGTAATATAAATAAATAAAAGAAAAAATCAGTGTACCTAATGTTTTTTGGGTTTTTTTGTTGTTGTTTTTTGAGACGGAGCCTCACTCTGTCGCCAAGGCTGGAGTGCAATGGCGCGATCTGGGCTCACTGCAACCTCCACCTCCTGGGTTCAAGCGATTCTCCTGTCTCAGCCACCTGAGTAGCTGGGATTACAGACGTGTGCCACCATGCCTGGCTAATTTTTGTATTTTTAGTAGAGACAGGATTTCACCGTGTTAACCAGGCTGGTCTCAAACTCCTAACCTCAACTGATCCACTTGTCTCAGCCTCCCAAAGTGTTGGGATTATAGGCATGAGCCATCGCGCCCAGCTTTAATTTTGATAGTTTTGTTAGCAACTTGAGTTCCAAATGACTTCCCTTCATTATTCCTTTACATTTCACTTATTTATTAAAACGACTACTTGATTATAGCCACAGATGATAACATATTTGGAGGGATAGGCAGCGGTATGTGTGTGTGTGTATACATTTTTGAATTGTTTATTGTATTATATAGATATTCCTCTGTTTGGCTACTTGGAAAATGTTTTCCAAATATGGTTTCAATTATGTGATGTATAAACAATTCCCTTAAAGAAGAATACCTTTCTCAGTGGCGATTTCTTCTTCTTCCTGTAGTCTTGAAGCCGGTAGTGGAGTTACTGAGTAATCCAGACTACATTAACCAAATGCTGCTTGCCCAGCTGGAGTACAGAGAGCAGGTGAATGAGCATCACAAGAGAGCCTACACCTATGCCCCCTCTTATGAGGACTTCATCAAGCTCATTAACAGCAACTCTGATGTGGAGTTCTTGAAGCAACTAAGGTATTTGGTCTTCAATTATAGCACAGCAACAACTACTGATTATCATCCGCTGCCTAGTTAGGTTTAAAAAAAAAAAAAAGTAGGCAGGGAAGCAGAAATAAAACAAGTCCATAAATCTTACTATTTGGTGACAGCTAAATTTATCCAGCATCACCTTAACAGTGTACTTAGAATGAATTTTTTCAAAGTATTAGGTTTTTCAAATACAGTTGACTCTTGAACAGTTTGGGAGTTGGGGGCACCCACAGTCCCCACTGCCCCCACCCCCAGTCAGAAATCACATACAACATTTGACTTGGGCCTAGCACAGTGGCTCACACCTGTAATCCCAGCGCTTTGCGAGGCCAAGGTGGGCGGATCACTTGAGGTCAGGAGTTCAAGACCAACCTGGCCAACACGGTGAAACCCTGTCTCTACTAAAGATACAAAAATCAGCTAGGTCTGGTGGCACATGCCTGTAGTTCCAGCTACTCAGGAGGCTGATGTATGAGAATCGCTTGAACCTGGGGGGTGGAGGTTGCCGTGAGCTGAGATCATGCCACTGCACTCCAGCCTGGGTGAGAGAGCCAGACTCCATCTCAAAAAACAATAAAAATAAAAAAATAAAAAATGACTCTCCGAATACTTAACTACTAAATACCTTACTGTTGCCCAAAGCCTTACCGATAACATGAACAATTATTAGCACCTACCTTGTATGTTATATGTATTATATATTGTATTCTTACAATAAAGTAAGCTAGAGAAAAGAAAATATTATGAAAATCAGAAAGAGAGAATATATTTACTATGCAAAAGTGGAAGCAGATCATCATAAAGGTCTTCATCATCTCTTCACATGGAAGTACGCTGAGGAGGAGGAGAATAAGGAGCGATTTGTCTTGCTGTCTCAGGTGGCAGAGGCAGAACAAAATCCTGTGTGAGTGGACTCATGCAGTTCAAACCTATGTTTTTCAAGAGTCAGCTGTAATGAGGCTATAATAGATTGAAAGCTCTTCAGATGTCAGGAGTACCTGCTTAGCTGCTCCGATGACTACCTTAGAAAAGCTTTGGAAGGACTTGGAAGGACATCAGAAGGAGATGATGTGTTTTTAAAGTACAGAGTAGAACATTGTGTTGGTTTTTGTTTGTCTTGGACAGTACAGAGGCTTGGGTTTGGGAATAAGAGGTTCTAGATTAATTATTTTGAGAAAACACATTTGAAAATACCATAGGAGTATCTTTTATAGGGGAGCGCAATGTCCGTTGTTATACCTGAGATATTTTAGGGGTGAGTGTATGTTTTTGTGTTTTTTTAAGAGTATATACGCATTTAGTATGATTATATAGTCTTGTCTAGTTTGTAAATTTTCTAGGCTTCTGTTTCTCTACTCTTCTTTTTAATGTTCCCAAATGATAATACATGGGAAAGAAAGAAAAGTCTTGTATGTTCGTTTTGTTTTTCATTAATAATTTTGGTGAATCCCTGATGGAAAAGTAAAATATTGGTTGAAATTGGGTGTTTGAATTAGTTGAGGGTTTAAAACTTGTGACATTCACTTGTGAACTGGGGTTAACGTTAAGATGACTCATGCTGTTTCATTTTCTGATTTGAATAAAACACCATCTAAGGAGACATACCTTGTAGATGCCACTGTGTTCTTATATATGGTGTCATATCTTAATCTAGGTGTCACAGATACATAATGACGGGTTCAATTTACAAATATATACCTCAAATACATAATGACGGGTTCAATGTAAATGGATTTGTTTACAAGTAATTTAATTTTGGGTATAATATATATCTGATATAGTATCTGGAGATTTTATGTTTCTCTTGCCATGCATAATTTCGAAAGGCTACATGATATTCTTTATAGATTTGTTTTTATTTATGTCTGAGTCTAGACATTTCTTTTTTGTAAGTGTGACACTTGAGCTAGAACCCAAGAGCTGGTATTCCAGGTTTGTTATGTGAGGCTTACAGGTTACATCCACTCAAGTCATCCTTATCCCAGCGTCCTTTGATTCCTTTTAAAGTGTCGTTCTATAAAAGTGAAAGAGCTCACAGCAGTGGAACACCCTTGTTGCCTCTCCTCTCCCTAAAACTGCACACACACACACACACACACACACCCCCCAAACTCTAGATGTAGGGATGCTATTCAAACCTATACTCGAATACTCATCCACCTGGTGCTCTCATGCCTGCCGTTCCCAGATTTGTGGTGCCTGGTGTGACAAGGTAACATGATGACTATGCCCCACAACATTGTAATTTCTTCCTAAGACATTGTTTATGAACAGATAATTCATGTTGATAATTTGTGGCTTCATTGAATTCCTGAGCATTTTTCTTTGACCAAATAGTCTTTCCACAGTAAAGGCAGATGTGGACTGTTTGGTAACCCCGAGCGAGTTTAACAATCGAGAGTCAACAGTGGCAGATTAAGAGAATCGGTATTCCTTGTTCTTACAGACTTGTGGGTGAGTGTTCTATTTTGTGTGCCAAACTGAAGATTCCAGCACTGCACATAGGGATGTATTTAATAGTTAATGGAGGAAACAGAAAGGCATGAGTTTTTTTTTTTTTTTTTTTTTTTTTAAGAGACAAGGTCCTGTGGTGTTGCCCACACTGGACAAACTCTTAGGCTCAAACAGTCCTCCTCCCTCAGCCTTCCAAGTAGCTGGCACTACAGGCGAGCTCCTGATTTTTTAAAAATCAGAACTAATTATTTCGAATGATCTACTACTGGTTCTCTAGCACCATCTGTTATTTTGCATCTTAACACAGTTCCTGTATTGTAAGATGAATGAATCTTGATAAAAATGAATGGTTTATCTTCTTCAAAATGTACCAGCCAAAGATTCAGAACTATTTAAATACTATATACAGTTCATCATCTGGTAGATAAAGAAGTAGCTAAAAAAAAAAAAAAAAAAAAAAAAAAACAAAAAAAAAAAAAAAACCCTAGCACTTTGGGAAGCTGAGGAGGGCAGATTGCTTGAGCCTGGCAGTTCAAGACCAGCCCAGGGAACATGGCAAAACCCCATCTCTACAATAAAAAAAACAATAAAACTATGGTGTACGTTGCTCCAGCATGATTGAACAGCTTACTTCTGTTGCAGTAGGAACATCATGGATTGCCTTAACTCGATTGACCAAAGATTACACCGAAGTTCTGATTTTACGTTTTTCCTTTCCCTTCTGATATGTGATGAAACAAAAATAGTGTGAGCCCTTAACTCTTTCTCAAAGATCACTTCCTCTTGACATCATAAATAGGGCAAGATTAAAGGGATAGCGCCCTAGGTGCCCTGAGAAGCAGGCCCTTTGGTCTTGAGCACTGAGGGACTTAAAAGGCAATAGAAGTGCTAAACTGAAGAATGCCTTTAAAAAAATGAGATATGATTCACATACCATAGAATTCACCACCTTTAAGTGTACAATTCAGTGGTTTTAGTGTATTCAAAGACTCTGTGACTGTCACTACTATGTAATTTCAGAATATTTTCATCACCCTAAAAAGAAACCCTGTGCCCACTAGCAGTCACTCCCCATTCCTTCCCTTCCTGCAGCCCTTGGCAACCACCAGTCTGCTTTCTGTCTCTATGGATTCGCCTAGTCTGGACATTTCATATAAATGGAATCATGTAGTATGTAGCCTTTTGTGTCTGGTTGCTTTCACTCATTGTGTTTTCAAGGTTCACTTGCATTGTATAGCATATCAATGCTCCATTCCTTTTTTTGGCGGAATAATATTCCATGGTGTGAATATAGCACATTTGGTTCATCCTTTCACTAGTCCATGGGCAAGCTGGATCGTCCCACATTTAAAGGATGCCTTTTGAGTGACCGTTGAGCATCTTCAGTGACATTGTCAGTGACTGTTGATAAGTGAGAGTGAAATAAAATGTTGCAGTTCCTAACCTCTTTCTAGTATGGCCTCCTGCCACGGCGTACCCACCGCCGCCAAGGAGTGACGGAACACAGGCACCAGGAAGGTGCATTCGTTTTGTGCGCTATTCCCGTTCTGTGTGTTGTATGTTCCTCTGTCTTCCACCTTATTACTAGGCTTTGCGTTTCCAGCAGAGTTTGCAGAGTCAGTGGGAAGGGCGCTTGGAGGTATTTGGATTAGATAATCGAGCTTGTTAGGTGACTAGTCTATTAGAGGCAAAAGGAATCCATTCTCAGATTTAATTAGGTTGGATCCTTTTACAAGGGATCTCAGCTCACTGCGACCTCTGCCTCATGGGTTTAAGCGATTCTCCCACCTCAGCCTCCCAAGTAGCTGGGACAACAGGCACACGCCACCACACCTGACTAGTTTTTCCCATGTTGGCCAAGCTGGTCTTGAACTCCTGGCTTCAAGTGATCCGCCCACCTCAGTCTCCCAAAGTGCTGTAATTACAGGTGTGAACCACCGTGCCCGACTGGAGCTGTTTTCTTAATTCATAGACTGAGCTATTCTGTTGTTTTTCTGGTACAATTATAGTACTCTGCTATCTGACTTTATTGGTGTTTTATGTTACTATCTTCAGATTGCTCTCAGTATAATTTTGGGATAGGCTGCCTGAGGCAGGTAATGTGTTTTATTTAGACTAAGCAGTTGATGTACCTATCCACTTTTATTTTTTACGTATTTGAGAGATGCATATTTTCTAAAGGAAATAAAGTCCTTCAACTCTGTTAGGGCAGAATGCACTAAAAACAAACACAAAAAACCTTGAAGGTGATATTTGTAGTCCTGGAATAGTTTGGTTATTTTCTGAATCAGCATGAAGTACTTTCACAGTAGAACTAGAAATGCATCTTTCAAATATACTTAGTGGTTTTAACCTTGACTGTACGTTAGAACCACTGAGACCTTTTAAAAAAGTAAGTTGTGTATCCCAGTAGCTTTTGTAGCTTTTCCTTTTTCTTCTTTTCTGGATGCAGGGTGTTGAAGTGAAGATGTGGTGGTTATACTTGTGTGATATTTTGAATTTTCCATTGTTTTCTGGTAGGAGCAGTGACT